GTAATTATAAAAAAAAATTATTTTATGTGTCATATTCTTTCGTAGTGTTCCATGAGTTTTATGGTGTGGGTTTAGTGATTTTTTAATATTTATCAAAATCTAAACATTTTTAGGTTAAAATGTTCGTAAAATTAAACTAGGATAGTCTACATAATTTTTTTTTTTAAAGTTACTTTAAGAAAAAAATTATCCTAAATTCATTTTTTAATAATCTCGGACTACAAATTTAACTCAGAAGGGTTGGAGGAAAAAAACTGTTACTGGGTTAAAACCTAAATTTTTTGGTCTAAGGGGGTGGGGGAATGAGCCAAACCTCACAATAGGCTGGCGATAATGTGATTCAAATTCATCTTTGACTAGAATTGAACCTAAGACCTCTCATTTACAAGTGAAGAAGAATAACATTATACCGTCGTATTAAGTGTGACACGCCCCGATCCCGATGTCTAGGGGACATCGGGATGTCCACATGTTGGCTGACACCCGAGGGTGACGCAAGCCATTTAATGAATGCATTTGCTAAGAACATGTGAAACATGCATGTAAATTTCACGTGAACTGCGCAATGTAATATTCCAACATAAAACCTTATAAAATAATATAATAATATTCAACTGCCAACAATGATAATGATAGTGATAATGCATAACCTGTTCAGAGCATACATCTAATTTAGAATACAAGCAGAAGGTGATATTACAATGATGTCAAAGCAGAAAGGATGGCACGATGTCACTGGTATGGGAATGCCTCATAGCTTGGATTGTAAGCCTCGTTCCTATGTCTTGAGGGGGTGCAAAACAAACATGAGTGGACCAAGTTGATATATAAGTAGTACAAACATAGTTATTCAACAACGTATTATCCCCCAAAGTTTATGAAAACTAATAGCATAATATGTGATAGGATTTCCGAAAACCCTAGCATGCCATAAAACCTTTCATAATACATATATCATATATAGTGTGCTAACTAGTGGTATCATAATCGCCCGAAGGTTCTCCATCATGCACCCGTAGGCAGAACATACGCCATGTGCCCATAGGTAGAACAATCACCCATAGGCAGGACATACGCCCGTAGGCAAGACAATCGCCCGTAGGCAGGACATACGCTCGTCATCTATGAGCGGTGTGAAATAAGAAGGACAGAATTGCCATTAATAGTTGCACCTAAGCACATAAAGGGTTCAATTAATAAATTAATAAAACTTTATCATAACGATTGAATTTTAGGAAACGGACGTCATAAACGGATTCAAGACGTCGAAAAACATAAGAGGGACCTCAAGTACCCCCACATGTCGCCGCACGTGCCTTCACGCGCTGCCATGGGTTGCCGAAAAGTTGGCTTGAAAAGTCGCTGGAGCCACCGTTGGTGCTTGTGCTCCATGCACTAGCATCGGCTCGGCCTCACGTGTGCCCACGCACAGGGTCACGCGTGGTTGGGCTCAGGGTTTGGGTCGGTTCTGGGTTTGGGACTGAAGGTTTTGGGCTTGACTTAGTGGGTTGGGCTTGGCATATTGGGCTTTTGGGCTTCTCAAATGGGTTGGTTCCATGGCCCAAAGGTTGGGGTTCCCTTAGGTTTCAGGTTAAGGGTTGAGCTGGGTTTCAAAGGGTTTTGGGCTTGGGTTCTAAAGGTTTGGGCTGAGGGTTTAATGGGCCAAAGGCCCGAGTCATTACGACCCAAAGGCTTTGTTTCAATTGGGTTTTGGGCCTGAAAGCCCAGCCCAAGGCTTGGGTTTGGGTCTCGACCCAGTTTTGTGAGGGAGAAGGCCAGAGATTTGGCCGGGAATCTCCTCGACTCCGTTTTGGGGTCAAACGTCAACCAAATTTCATCATACAAAAGCCAAAATGAAGATAAAATAGTAGGGATTCAAGTTGTACCAAGATAGGTTGGAGTTGGCGCCAGAGATGACCGGAAAAAGGCCTGAAATCTACGGTATTTTGCCATAGAATTGCAAAATGCTTCCTCAAGCTGTTTTCGTGCTTAAACTTTCACCAAAATCGTTTTCCATTCAATAACCAAGTAGTCTAGACTATGAAGGAAGGAGATCAAAAGGTGATTTCGACTTACCTTCGTCGGAAAATGCTTGTACTATGACTGCAACGGTGTCGGGAAAGAGAAAGTGATAGGAGCATATTTATGCTACTTAGTTATGTTGTTTCCTTGCATTTAGTTAGCTAGTTACTATTTATTATAGTGTTTTAAGCTATTTTCGTGTGTTTGTAGGTCATAATGACAAAGTTGGCAAGAAAAGACAATTTTGAGCCTTTTAGAGCAATTTTGGGCTTATTATGGATAGCTTGCATATGGAGCAAGGTGGATGGATGAATTTGAAGATCAAGAGAGGCTAGGAATGTGATTAACATCTGGAAGAATTAAATTGAAGACTTGGAAGATAAGGAATCAGCTACAAAGAAGGAGTATTATCCAAATTTCCTTATCTTATCCAAACCTTATCCAACCTTATCTTATCTTATCCTATCCTAATCTTGTCCTACCTTAATTCCAACTTCAAAGAGGACTCATTTTCACATTAAATCACCTAAATATCAAGTTCTAGAAGCTCTATTTTCGTGCCCTAAGTTTATGCCACATGTAACTCTTCTAGAAGTTCTAGAATCTGTCACAAGGACCATTCCTTGTCCTCCTTGGAATTTGATTGAAAGTGTCCTTGTTTTTTGGTGATTTGGAGTCCTAATTCCTCTCATTTTCAGCCCAATTTTGTGCCTCCCCTTCACCCTATAAATACATGATGCCACAACACTAAAAAAAACACCACCCACTACCCCAAATTCACACCACACCATCCACCACACCTCAGGAGCCTAAATTCACACAAATCCCCATTGTGGGCAGCAAGGAAGGAAGGAGGAGCCACCTGGAGTGTTGCTAGGTGTATTCTATTTTTGTTTTTAATGTTTAAGTTTAATTATCTTTGTTTTGCGAACATGTAAAACTAATTTCCTTTTAGTTAGAGGTGAATTCGAAGCCATGATTATATGTTTTATATGAATTGATTCCATCCAGTTATTGTTTTTTAAGGTATGAATGTGATTTGCTTATCTAAGTTACTAAAACTTGTTTATGTATGTGGTCGACACTTAATTTGCATGCATGAATTTGATGCTAGAGTATAAGGGGGTCTCACGTAATAGTTATTCACTTATATTCACAAGTAGTGGAGGTTGCTAGTCATAATCGTGTTAAGTAAATCCTTGGTATGAGTCTCATGCGTTTCATAGTGATGAATGCCTTGTCAATGCTTATGATTTTCATAGAACTTAATGACTTTTGACATGTATCTCTATCATGCGTTTCATATAAGGAACTTGAGAAAGATAATTTGGTTTAGATGCGTATTCCATCTAATTCAATGAAATAAGGAAAATCTGATGGTTAGTTGTGCGATGCAACTAACTTGGGGCGTTGTCATTCATAGTCTAAAGGAAAAATAACTGGAAATTGGTTTATATGCATATATCATGTGTGGAGAAGGACTCTCTAACTAGCCTTTCACCCATTTAATTCACCTAATTTCACTTTTTACAAAGTGTTTTCTACAAAGTTTTTGTTTTAAGTTTTAAATTCGTCAAAAACAATCCCCCTTTCATTTAGTCTTGTTATTTGAGTCAAAATCTGTTTTCTTTGAGTCTTTTGAGTCAAGTTAAGGTTTATTTTCGTCCAAAACACTTGTTAGGTCTAAAATTTAGTCTTTTTGAGTGTTTGTTGCTGTTTTGAGTGTTTTAAGTTAGTTTAGAGTCTATAGAGTCTAGTTTAGTGTTTTTGAGTCTTAATTGTGTTGATTAGCATCCCTTCTAATCCCCGGCCTAAAACGATCCCTACTTTCATATACTACAATCATAGGGTTTTAATTTGAGTGTAAGAATATTTCACATTAAAGAGGAAGAGTTGGGTGTTTGGTCGAGGGCGAGGGTCGTCGTCATTGCCAACAGGTGGTGATGATGGTGTGTGTGTGGATCAGGGAGAGGGAGAAAGTGTGCGAGAGAGATAAGAGTGAGGGTTGAGAAAGAGAGATTCGAGATTGAGAGTGGACTCTGGGAGAAGGAGAGAAGGAGAGAGAAAAGAGATGGGGATGAGGGTGGGGGTGGTGCCATGTGGCAAGCAAAGAGAAGGAAAGAATTTGGAGAAAGTCCAAAATGGAAACCGGATTGGGTAAGTGATAGGGGACAAACTGGTCATTTCATAACTCTGTTAATATGACAAAATACATAATTTGGGACGGGGTTTCACAAAGTGGCACTAAAAGACATTTTTTAAAAACTCAAGAAAATAGTTTTTGTTTAGGTTTAAACTTTTTTGTTCACTGAGCTTATACCTAAAGTCTATTTTGGTCATTATGTTTTTAATTTAACTAATTTGATTAGTATGTTTTACCAAGTTTACAGTGTGAATCACTTTCGATTCTTCAAGAAACGCTCAAATGTTTATGAAGCTTATGATAAGCTTTCACTGAAAGCAATTTTTTGAAAAAATTACGAGATAAGTGCTTTCTATAAAAGCACTCGCATACAAGCCGTGGGTTCTAAACGTGCGTGCTATAAGAATAGTATAGTATGCTCTCACGTACGGCGTGTTGGGACAATCCCGCACGTGAACCTGTCTGCGTCTTCCGAGTCCCTTTAAAAGCAATGCTCCCCACGTGTACCTCTGTGCTCTCTTACCGTCAGCTCCAAATGTGCAGCTTTCACTCGGCCGTTAAAACAAACAAACAAACAAACCAAAGGCAAAAACACCAGACGCATTTTCCCGCGTGCCGGTAAAACCAACCAATTTCTGACAAAAATAGCCGACCCAGAATTGGGCCTCGGTTTCAAGCCCACGAATCCCTCAAGGCCCAAAAGTGCAATTACAGAAAACCCATTGGGCCTTGGAAAAACTTAGATTTGCAATAAGCGTGCCAAAATAACGATCGTGTGGGGCCCACCACTCGAGAGTTGCCGCGTGTAAGGTGTCGTCGACGATGCTGATTGCATTCCTTAACCACTACACCAAAGCACCGCGTGAAGGGAAAACTCGACGAATCGGAAGCTTTCAAAAGCCGACGAATTCAATCCTTTTTTTGGAAAAATCTAATCGAAAGCGCAGCGCGCAGAGACGATTCGATCCGATCCAGGCCAAACCTGAGAAGTTTCAGATCGATTTTCGACCGTTCGATCCGGCGCCATGAGTTTCCTCTTCGGCAAGCGGAAGACGCCCGCAGGTTCGTAGATTGATCAATTTGGTTGAGTTTTATGTTGTTTTAGGGTTTTGGTTTGTTGAATTTCTATGATCTTTTATTTTCCTGATGTAAAACTTTGTATTGTGTTTTAATAGATTTGGAAATTGTAGAGAGACTAATTGGAGCAATACCGAGAAATTTAAACAATTTATTTGTTAATCAAATAATCAAATAAATGATGTTTTTGTTTCCTCAATTTTTTATGGCTGTGTAGTTAATTGTGAATAGGAAGCTGAATTGGAGGGGATATAAGATTTAATCCATTAGAAGTCAATCTAGTTTGTCAATGCTTTTCGCCAGTTCTTTGTTTTGCAATCTATGTGTATGCGTATGGGACATCGTTAGGGTTTGGACCAGAAATTCCACCCAATATCCGGAGTTGAACCCGTAGCGGTGTGATGTGTAATTTTCAGTTGGATTATGTGAATACAAAATGAAGAAAATCTAACTACTTGAAGTAGAAGGATATCTATACAATTGCGAACCTTTTGTTTGTACACCGTACGCTGCTATTTGCATATTGATATCTGAGTTTGATCGCTCAATTGGTAATTCGGTTGTTTGCTTCTTAAAGTTTGTGTACATTTTTGTATGATGTTGTCCATCTGACGGTAGACTTGATTTATGTCTTGATTCTTGTCTTGGGGCATGTAACACTAATTTTTATTTGTCTCATTGTTTTGTGACAATTACTGCTTTATAAACTGAAATTGTATATTTGGGTCTGAATTTGTGATTTTAGAACTTTTGCGGGAAAACAAGAGGATGCTGGACAAATCTATTCGAGAGATAGAGAGGGAGAGAGGAGCTCTCCAAGCACAAGAGAAGAAACTAATTCTAGAGATTAAGAAAAGTGCCAAGCAAGGGCAGATGGTGTGTTATTTTCTCTCTGCTATTTGCTGTTTTGCTTTATTTTTCGTGAGGCTCGATTTCAGTATCTTCCTCTGTTTGTGCTTTGTGGCTGAGCTACTCTTGACCGCAGACCTAAACTCCCTTGGCTCATTGTTGCCTAATTATCTGTCTCTGAGTTTTAGTTATGAAGTTGGTGTTATACATGCATAGAACATTTTCTGCTTTTACCTTTTAGCGTATAGACTTTGGTTTGATGGTCGCATAGCCTAACTGTGCTTTTTATCTGTCCAACTTTGTTTCAGGGAGCTGTTAAAGTTATGGCGAAAGACCTTGTTCGAACACGACATCAGATTGAAAAGTTCTACAAGCTCAAATCTCAACTCCAGGGTGTATCTCTTAGAATTCAGGTATATCTACATTCTGTGATTTATGCCTTTTAATCCATGTGAACGAAAGGTAGCTCCGTCATTATTTTGGTATCCTATTGGATGAGTTGTATTTTTAGAATTACTTTTTTCTTTCAGACGTTGAAATCCACACAAGCTATGGGAGAGGCAATGAAAGGAGTGACGAAGGCAATGGGCCAGATGAACAGGCAGATGAACTTGCCATCACTGCAGAAAATTATGCAAGAATTTGAGAGGCAGAATGAGAAGATGGAATTGACAACTGAGGTGATGGGTGATGCTATTGATGATGCGCTGGAAGGAGATGAGGAAGAGGAGGAAACCGACGAACTAGTGAGCCAGGTTCTTGATGAGATTGGAATTAACGTCAACCAAGAGGTACTTACATCAGTCGAGAACTCGTACATTTTTCCTCTCCGCTGTGGTTGACGAATTTAAAGTTTCTGAGCAGCGATAACATTTCTGTTGTTTTCTTATTCTCTGCAGCTTGTTAATGCACCATCGGCTGCTGTTGCTGCACCAGCTGCGAAGAACAAAGTTCCGCAAGTGGAAACAGCAGCAGCTGGAGCTGATGACGGTGGGATAGATAGTGATTTACAGGCGAGGCTAGACAACTTAAGAAGGATGTAGATTTCAATTTCTTGTATATTATTGGCAGTGTGAGAGGTGAGAGGTCTTTTGTGCATTGTAATATATGTGAAAATTTATGCCGGAATTTATCGAATCAAGATTTGACACGCGGATATTTTAATAAAATTACATTCGGTAAATTTGTACACAACAAACATGTTACGAATATGAGGAGATGCACATGCTTTGTAATGGTGAGATCGAGCTAGAGAACCCAACTTTCAAAAGGGTAAGCCTAAACTACGGGAGAGATTTGAACTTGGGTGCAGAAAGCAAGTTGTAAACTCGAAACACATTGACGGTCTGAGAGTTGTGAACACGGTGACGGGATTCAAAATTTTGTCTCATGGAGGCGAACCTAATAACGCTACAATACTAGAATCTTTTCTACAAGAAAAAACCCTCAAAATTTTGAAAATGGAGTTATGATGTTTTCATTGAATACAGTTGCAAGCGTATGATACATTGTCTTTGCAGAAATCACATGAACTCACTGCAAACTGTTCAAGTTGTTGAATTTTTTTAGCATTTTCGGATATTTTGATGACGTAAGGAAATCGTGATCGCAAGTTGCAAGCGTAAGAACCAACAAAAATTTCAGTATCATATACAATACAGTGCCAGTTTAAATTTGGATCCAACTGTGGCGAAATATTTTTACAATGTTTATCTAATCGGGCAATTTTCATTGTACTTGAATACGACCAAGTAACGTTACTATTTTACTTAAATTACAATAAGTAAATTTGTTTTATATTATATACTCTAAAAAAATGTATTAAAACTATCGTTTATCTTATTATAACACGTAAAATTATACATTAGAGTAACTTGTATTCCTGATAGTTTGGTAAAAAATTCTCCACCTAATCCTTGTTTTCTACCATGCACTCCTTGATACCATCGTCCCACTTTACAAACCAACAAACTCCCAAAAAAAAAAAAAGCCTTAAAAAAAATGGGAAATTTCAAATTTTTCTTTCTTTCTGTAAATGGAAAAAAAAAAAATGAACGAAAAAAAAGAAAGAAAAAAAAAAAACCCTAGAAAGCTCAGACTAGCAGGCCCTCTCTGGAATTGTCCTCCGGCGTGGTCGTCAACTGCGGATGACACCATGAGCTGACGGGCACGGGCGTGCGACAGAGCGGGCAGTCAGAGTGAGAATAGAGCCACATGTCTATGCAAGGAGCATGAAAAGAGTGCTTGCAAGTAGGCAGTTTTCTTATTTCTTCTCCATCCTCAAAAACTGACAAACAAACAGCACATTCAACAGAATTTTCATCTTTTGTGTTTGATCCCTCTTTCTTCTGGTACCTGAAGCTGCCCAAGTTCTCAAAGCTCCTACTCCTCCTCGTTCTTGAGAGATCAACCAAACTGTTTGATGGTCTTGACGCCGGAGACTGGCCATGGCGCCTCGAAGTCCATTTGATGAAGATAAGGTTGTACATGGCTAGGATTATGCCGGCTGTTCCGACGACTATGAGGCCATAATACAGCATGGGTAAGTTGGTTTTCGGTGACGGAGGAGGCGGTGGCGGCTGTGAAATGGGGCTTTGTATTGTGTAGAGCTTGTAACCCATTGTTTTGGGTTTTTGGTGAAAGTGGCAAGAGGATTTGGAGAGGAGGAGGGGCCTTAAATTAGTACTAGCTAGTTGTTTTAATTTCACAAAGAAGATTCTCCACTCTAAGCCATGTTATTATTAAATAGGTTTAAATTAAAATAAATTAACAATAATACTATTTAGACATACAAATTAAACACGCTTGATAATACATATTCTTCAGCACAATTAAACGATTTTATCTGTATCGAGATAATAACCTTTAAAATAAGAAGTCGTTAATCGAAAAGCCGTGGTCGTTATGTAGTTGTGGAAATAATAAACTTTGTTTATAATCTTTTGGGGTAAAGAATGATTGAAAGAAGACAAAGGAATGCACAATCACAGGACACCAAGCAAGGGTGGAGGAGAGTGACTTCAACTTGTAGATAAGAATTATTTCTCTCTCTCTCTCTCTCTCTCTCTCTCTCTCAGAGTCTGCCTTATTCTTGGCTAAGAGAACAATTAAATAGATATATTATTGTTCGATATGGTCGTATGAACGACCTGCAATCAACAAAATAAATTAAAATATTATCCGGCAGTTGTTTTATTCACTAATCCTGTAACTATTTATCCTTTAATTGGTAAACCATGGCTTTACAATTAAAAATTGTTAGGTATGAGCAAATCAATTTGAGTTGAAATTTACTTGAGGTTTAGAAATTTACACACATAATGATACTTTAGGAGTCAAAGTAACGGCAACCCCATATTTTATAGGAGAATATAATTACGGGATGTGTAAATGTGAAGACTCTAAGCCTTATAAATATTAGTTTTTTAGTGTTAAAACTTAAAAGAGAATTGAAACATTAAAAGAATTAACTGTTAAATACGGGATGTGTAAATGTCTAGACTCGGATGCTTTCCTTAACCATATAGCGCAATAATCGGTTTCAATAGCAAACATGTCCACACTTTTTTTCTTCAATGGTTGTGACTAAAATAGATTTTTGGAGGACTTACTCATGAAGAAACCAAAAGAACCAAAACCATGTCGACTCTTGGAACCTAATTTTTGTGGACCTTGCCTCTGGTCATGCATCCCTTCTCAGATACGTGCAAGTATTAGTAAGGGGCGTTTTGATACAGATGCCTAGTTCTTGAAATTTTAAGATTAAACATCCATGTCTTTTAGAATTTTGATTAAACATATTCTTACAATTTAGGCGCCACATAATACAAGATTATATGATTTCTCATTCTATGTAGTGTACCAAATTAACTATAAAATCTCTAGTGGTTATGATTCAGTATTCAATTTCAACATAATTCTGTTACAATTTTAAGGAACAACTTGACATTTTCTTCTATTTCTTACGTACCTTTTTCTTCCAACTCCACACCGTATTGGAGCACACACCAACTCTTCCAATCAATGTGTATATCGTACCACCGTTTAAGTTAATTTAATGACTGTTCTCCACCAACTTTGATGGTGGTATGATATATCACACCTTCAAATTTGAATATTGATACCATAGGGTAAGTGTCACATCCCGGCCTGGGCCCCCACCACAACCCGGACTCGACTCCACCGTAGCACGATATTGTCTGCTTTGGGCTCTACCATACCCTCACGGTTTTGTTTCTGGGAACTCACACGAGAACTTCTTAGTGGGTCACCCATCCTGGGATTGCTCTCGTGCGAACTCGCTTAACTTCAGAGTTCCGATGAATTCCGAAGCCAGTGAGCTCCCAAAAGCCCTTGTGCTAGGTAGAGATGGGAATATACATATAAGGCTTATAGGATCCACTTCCCTGGCGCGATGTGGGATGTTACAGTAAGCCTTTTGTTTTACCGCACTTTGTATCCATGTTTTCATAATTTTCACGTACCATGGTACATTTGGAAAGTTAACTTCGATTGGCACAATGCCTTCTAGATATTATAGTGGGTACATGTCACTTTAACATGAGGTACGTTTCAAGTTGCATGGTACATTTGGAAATTTAACTTCGATTGGCGCATTGCCTTCTAGATATTATAGTGGATACGTTTCACTTTAACATGAGGTACGTTTCAAGTTGCTTGGTACGTTTTAATTCGACATTGGTACGTTTTAATTCGATACTGGTATGTTTTAATTTGACTTTGGTACGTTTCTATTTGAAAAATAAATTGTAATCATCCATGTCAAGAGATATAAGATACAATGTGTGTATACTCAATAATGGTGGATATAAAGATCGTAGAACATTCGTAAGCCAATAAAATAGATCATTGTTTATGAACGCCTAATTTCTCTATCTCCCCTAACAAATTTCAGCTTATTTTCAATAGCTATTTTATCTCTCCCTCTTTCTCTTTTTCTCTCCCTCACAAAATTTCTCACGACCGTATCTCTCTTTTGATGAACTGGGTGAGAGACACAAAAAAGTAGAAAACTGTTCTCTGATTTTTAGGAAGATAATTAAAAATTAGTAATAGATATTAAAGGATAAACTGGAAATGAGTATATATCTTTTTACATTAATAATAGATAATGAATTAAATAAGAAAATGCTGATGTGGACATACATTAATTTTAATTTCTAGGAAGAGGACATGCGATTAACTTCTTCTAACTCTCATAAATTCAACTGCCAAACACATTCTCCCTTTGTTATAAATTATCTGTCTACCTCGGGAGTATTTCAAGCAATTGCTTTGGCCCCAAGTCTCCAGCATCATATCAAACGAATCGTCAATAAATTGCAGGGATCCAAGATCTTGTCCACTGCATTGTGCTAACTAACAACACATCACACACAATGGATAAGATGGACGCCAAAAAGATCAGTGGAGAACCCGAATCCGAATCCAAATCCCATTCAGTCGCTTTAATGGCCTCGTCATCACTACCATCCCTTCCTTCAGAAATATGGTTTGATCATATTCTAACACGAACATCGCTCGAAAGTCTAGGCCGGTGCAGGCTGGTTTCAAAGGAGTGGAATCACATCACGTATGACTCAAGGTTCTGGCAATTTCTTTGCGAAAGAAGTGGCACAGTTTCGGGGTTTCTAGTCGAGAATCGGGTCAAATATGGGAAAACTTTACAAACGTTCGTGTCTGTTGATAATAAGGCAAACAAGAATTTGACACACTCAGTTATGGACTTCATGCCTGTCCCAGTGCGCATTGAAGCTGTGAGTCGTCAAGGTCTAGTGTTTTGTATGAGCGAAAATAATTACCAACTTTTTGTCTGCAAACCTACCACTAGACAATGGGAAAAGTTACCGAATCCAAGGAACAGGTATTTCACTTCGACGACTGCCATAGTTGTGTTAAGTTCAAAGCCTCTAAGGTACAAGATTATTCAGATTTCAAGAGCCCGGTATCCCTTCTTCAAGGTCAAGTCAACACAGTACTTAAAGTGGAGATTTGAGGTGTTTGATTCAAACACTTGGGAGTGGAGGCAGTTGAAGGATGTAAGCTTACCTTATTCTATTTGCTTATACGGCTTTAACCGGCGCTACATATCAGTATGTGGTGGATTCTATTGGCGATTAGCGGACAACAAAATTTTTGCTTTTCATTATGAAGATGATAAAGAGAGTTGGGAACTATTTGATTTACCACAGCCGGTGAGGGATTGTGAGGGTTTAAGTTACAATCGACTCGTGGAGTACCAAGGCCGGCTTGGATTGATTTGCATCTATAGGGAGTCCATGGACCTGTGGGTTATGGAAGATCATGAAAAAAAAGTATGGAGAAAGATACGGAGATTGAGCATGGAAGGGCTTAAAGAAGTGGAGGGCTATTGTCCTCCCCCTGTATCATTTTACAGCAGTGATATTGCACTTGTGAAAGGGCACGAAAAACTCATATTTTACAATTTTCGAGATTCTAGTTCTAATGTAGTGAGATTAGGGTTTGATCCTAGTGAAGTTTTCAAGCTGCTATCGGATTCTGAGAGAGTTAATTTGAGGGGTACCTGTCCGTAGATGGAGCTGGCAAGATTTTAGTTTCATCTTCTCTATAAGTTTATATTTACATTTAGTTTGTTTTGTTATTTGTGTTGTTATTTCATAGGTTTATAAAGTTCTTGTTGAATGCTTTATCAATAGAACTTTGTTGTCAATGTTAATTTTGTTCATATTTTTTACTTACACACGAAGCCCCTGAAAGCCTAATCTCAAAGAGAAATTAATATAGAAACTGAGATTTTCTCGGTAAAGACTGATTTTCATTGATTGAATAATTATGACAGTACAAGAAGATATATATAGCCACAAGCTTACTACACTAGTACCTTTAACTTCTACAACTAATTACACAATTACCACAATTAACTGTTTACTATTATAACAAACTAGTGGCTAGTTTCGATGATTTAGCATCTGTCTTAATACACCCCCTCAAGCAGAGCTTGGGATCAATTGTTGAACCAAGAGGAAGCTTGGACTTGAGATAGCTAAATCGACTTTTAGATAGAGATTTAGTATGAATGTCAGCCAATTGATCTTGACTGCAAACAAATTGAACTTTGATGAGATGAGCCAATATCAACTCCCTGATATAATGTTAGTCGATTTCAACGTGTTTGGTTTTGACATGAAACACCGGATTGGAAGCAAGAAAGATGGCTGAAATGTTGTCACACCATAGGGTAGGAACCTGAGAGAGTGGGAAACCAATGTCACGAATTTTTTTACAGATCCAAGTAAGTTCAGCAGCTGTGTGTGCTAGATAACGATATTAAGGTTCAGTGGATGATCGTGCAACAGTGGATTGTTTCTTGGCACTCCAACTGATAAGATTAGATCCCAAAAAGACACAATAACCACTGGTGGAACGTCGATCAAAGGTACATCTGGCCCAGTCAGCATCAAAAAAGGCAGTGAGCTTGGTAGCGCCATTTTTAAACCAAAGTCCTTCAGAAACAGCGCATTTGAGATATCGAATAACCTTTTTTGCAGCTTGCATATGTTGTTCTCGAGGAGCATGCATGAACTGGCAGATTTGATTAACTACAAAGGAAAGATTTGGGCGAGTCCATGTTAAATATTGTAAACCACCAACAATGGACCTGTACTCGGTTGGATTGGACAAAAGAGGGCCTGTGTGATCAACTTTATGAGAGCCAAGTGGAGTACAACAAGGCTTGGCACCATCCATATTGGTTTTCCTAAGAAGATCTAGTAAGTACTTAGTTTGATGAAGGAAGATGCCTGCAGAAGACCGTTGAACTTCTAATCCCAACAAGTAGTGCAATGGACCCAAATCTTTGATTGGAAAAATAATGCTAAGCTTTTGGATGAACAGAGTGCATAAAGAATGATTAGGGCCAGTGACCAAGATGTCATCAACATAGATATGGAGCCAAAAATAATCAAGAGGCGACATGTGGATTTTTAGACAAAAAGGACAAAATTACCCTTAAGGAGCATCGGAATTCCTACGCGCGAGCAGTGGACAAACATCCCACAATCAAGTCAAAAGTGCCAAAATAGGTATTTATTTTTAAACCTATTTCATCCATCCTCATCAAATCCTCTCCACAAGGTAACCCCCAAAACATTTCTTTTAAATTATGTTAATTGGTAAATTAATGGATTTATTACCTAATTAATTTATTAATGGCTGATTAAACAACCAATTACACCCAAAAAATACACAAAAGGCCGGTCACCTTCTCTCCCAAAGGGACCGGCCATGCACTATATATTCAACCTCATTTCTTCTAAAAACCTAGGTCTTGACTCTTGCTAAACAATCAAAAATTCCTTAAACACTTTTCTCTCAAAATTCTAACTTTGGCATCGGAGGTTCTTTCGCCAAAGCCCCCCCATTCATCGTGGGTGTGTGAGGCTCTTAGCCTTGACCAAATGTGCTATTTGTTTTGTAGGTGCAATTTTGTCCAAGATCAAGGAGGAAGAAATTTGCATCCACAATAGACTAGTACCATGACTGGAGATGGACCTTTGAAAACAAACAATGGGGCATCTAAGGAATACTACACAAATTGAAATTGAAGAAAAGCTTGAAAGAGTTTGTCAAACCAAGCTCGTGGTGCCTGTTTAAGACCATATAGAGATTTCCTTAATTTGTAAACATAATTTGGCATACTGGGATCAGTGAAACCCGTGGGCTACTGCATATACACATCTTCTTTTAAATCCCCATGAAGAAAAGCATTACTTATGTGTAATTGGTTTAAAAACCAATTAAACTGCATTGTAAGTGATTAAAGTACTCTAATGGTGACTGGTTTATAAACAGGACTGAAAGTCCCTTGAAAATCAATGCCTTCTTGCTGGTGATAACCCTTTGCTACTAAACGAGCTTTAAATTTCTCAATAGTACCATCTGGCCTTTTCTTTATTCTGAAGACCCACTTGCAACCAATAACATTTTGGGAAGAAGATAGAGGAACTAAGGTCCAAGTACTTGTTGATTGCAAAGCATTAAATTCATCTTGCATGGCAGATCTCCAGTGAGAATGTTTAGATGCTAGCAAGTATGTGGTTGGTACAAAATCAATGTCTAATGGAAGTGGATGCTTGGTAGCTACATACACTTTGGGCTTATGTATTCCAGCTTTGGAACAAGTGATCATGCAATGAGTATTACCATGCGGCATTGTCACTTGAAGAAAGTGGTGTTGTGATGGTCATAGAACCTGAATGTGGTACAGAACTTGTAGAATCATAACTTTGAGTATTATGGATAAGAGAACTTGAAGAGGTATACCTAGAATTTGATCTCAAAATGGGAACAGAGAACTGAAGATTGATGGTAGATGAAGTTGATTCTGGAAGTGAAACAGTGCCTTTAGTAAAGGATTGAAAAGGATATGTAGTTTCATCAAACTGCACATGGCTTGAAATATAGATTATGTTAGTTATTGGGTCAAGACACCTATAACCCTTGTGTTGTAAACTATACCCTAAAAAGACATAACTTTTGCTTTTTGCATCCAACTTTGAATGAACATAGGGCTTGATTCATGGGAAACAACTGCATCCAAAGACTTTGAGTCTGGAATAGTCCGGTGGTTTGTGAAAAAGAAATTCCCAGGGAGACTTAGATATCCCAGAGATTGGCAACCTATTAATGAGATACACAGTAGTAGAGAAAGCCTCCACCTAATAGAGATGTGGAACATTAGAAGCAACAAGTAAGGTTCTAGCAATCTCCACAAGGTGTTTGTGCTTTCTTTCAGCACAACCATTTTGTTCAGGAGTGTGTGGACAACTTAATTGATGAAGAATACCATGATTGTGAAGCAAAGACTTGAACATAGTACCAATGAATTCACCCTCTGAATCTGAACACACAATCTTGATTTTATTGCCAAGTAAATTTTCTACATAATGTTTGAATACAACAAAAGTAGAATAGGCATCAAACTTTGCCTTTAATGGAAATTGCCAACTATTTCTACTGTAATCATCAACTAACAACAAGTAGTATTTGAAACCACTAGGTGAAGTAATGGAGGCAAGACCCCAAAGATCACAGTGAAGCAATTGTAAGTTATGAGTAGTTGTAGAACTAGCAAATCCAAATGGAAACTTATGGTTTTTAGCTGGAGCACAATTTGGACAAAAAAAATTCAACAGTAACCTCGCCTTGCACTGCAAGTTTATTGCTGGAAATAGCATTTCGAAAGAGAGAAGAAGATGAATGACCCAATCTTCGATGCCAAACCTTCACATGAGCTTTGACACTTATTAGAGCTGATGGTGATGAAGTAGTGTGGTGATTGGATCCTTGAAGTGGATAAAATCCATCTTTAACTCGTCCTCGTAAAAACGTCTTCCCCAAAACACGATCCTTTACAGTGGATCCATTAGGGTCAAGTGTCAAAGAACAATTATTGTCTTTGAGAAAGTGATAAGCAGACAATAACTTGTGTTTCATATGAGGGACATACAATACATTGCTTAATTTAAAGGGAGTGTGAGATGTATTTAAAGAAGAGGAACCAATATTATGGATAGACATACCTTTACCATCTCCTACGTAGACTTTGTCTTCACTAGCATAGGGAGAGGAGACTGAAAGATTTGCAATGTCATTTGTGATATGTGAGGTAGATCTAGAGTCCAGTAGCCAAGATGGAGAGGGTTTGGATGAGTAATTAGCACACAAAGCAGCAAGTTTGGCTGGTGGTACCTTTCCAGATATCTCAGGATTCATCATGTCAAAGCAGTCAATGGCTTCGTGGCTAGTAGAACCACAAATTTGAAATGTATTCTTGTTATCAAATGAAGATAAAGAACCTTGATAGTTAGATCTGGAGCCTTGATAAGTAGAACGATTCTGACTTCCACGATATTGTCCATTGAAATTGCCACGATTGGTACAACTGTAATTGCGATTCCCTTTGTTAAAATTGCGATTATGTCTCCCTCTATTAGAATTATAACGAAAGGAAGACTGAAATGGCTGATTGTACGCAGCAAAGTCCTGTGGAGGAGGCGTTGGCGACAACGGTGCCTGAGACTGAACAAAATAGGCTTGAAATGGCTCAGTGGCAAATGAAGAAGTTGTGTGCATACAATGAGCCGTGGAAATTTCTTTGGTGAGCAGCAAACCATGCACTTCCTCAAGAGAAGTAGAAGATAATTAAAGCATAATTAAGTCAATAAACGACTCGAATTCATTAGGTAAACCATGAAGTGTTGTTGCAATTAGGTCATGATCTGAAATGGCTGCACCAGCAATGGTGAGAGAATCTGAAATTTCCTTAATTTGTTGAAAATATTCCAAGATTGATTGAGAGCCTTTCTGAATTGACTGAAGATGAGAATGAAGTTGATGAATATAAGTATCAGAGGCTCCACCAAAACGTTGTTCAAGTTTCTGCCATAGTTCTCGAGATGGGATACAGCAACCGTGAAAGGAATTAGGTCTTCAGAGAGCGTCAAATTCTGCCATTCAAAAGATTTTGTTATTTTTCAAACCACCGCTCAAAAGATGGATTCAGAGATCGATC